ATCTTGCAAGAATTTATTCATCATGATCAATGTGGATTTTTGCCGAAAAGACAACTAAGAGACAATATTAGGGTCGTGCTGGATATTACAGAATATTTACAATATCATAATGAATGTCAGGCGGCTCTTATTTTTTTGGATGCAGAAAAAGCCTTTGATAATTTGAATTGGATGTTTATGTTTAAAATTTTGGAAAGTATCGACTTTGGAGAACATTTTGTACAGGAAATAAAGTCAATTTATATGCGTCAGAAGGCTAGTATTATTGTGAATGAAAAACTAATATTTTGGTTCTCGAAGTCCTTAATAGAGACATTAGAAGGGATGAACAAATAAAGGGCTTAAAGATTAAACAAGAGGGAAGTCCTTAATAGAGACATTAGAAGGGATGAACAAATAAAGGGCTTAAAGATTAAACAAGAGGGAAGTCCTTAATAGAGACATTAGAAGGGATGAACAAATAAAGGGCTTAAAGATTAAACAAGAGGTTTTTAAATTGAGGGCTTTTGCTGATGATTTAGTTTTGATATTTGATATACAAGACCCTCTGGTATCTGCTGAGCACTTGATGAAGAAATTGAAGAAATTTGGTTCACTGGCGGGTTTTAAAGTAAATAAACAAAAAACAAAAATGTTAATTAAAAACATGACCCTGCCTGATCAAGATCTGCTGATGAGCAAGACGGGTTTCAGGACTGAAAAAAAGGTGAGATGTTTGGGGATGATTCTGTCTACCAAAAATAGTGCGTTGTTCCAGAATAACTATGGCAAAATTATGGAATGAAGTGAAAAAAGATTTGGTAAGATGGGAAAAATTACAATTGTCTCTCATGGGGAGAATCTCAGTGATTTAAATGAATGTTTTGCCTAGGATGTTGTTTCTTTTCCAGACTATACTGATTTTGACTACAGATTTACCGTTTAAACAGTATCTAAGTTCATTTGGCAAGGCAAAAAACCGAGAATTAAATATAAACTGTTACTAGATGCCAAGGAACAAAGAGGTTTGGGTCTGCCTAATTTTAAACTGTATTTTGACACTTGCTGTTTGCTTTGGATGAAGGAATGGATAACCTTGGAGAATAAAGAATTATTACAACTTGAAGGTCATGAATTAAGATTTGGGTGGCATGCCTATTTGTGGTATGATAAAGTTCAAGTTAATAAGGATTTTAAAAATCATTATATTAGGAATGCCTTACTGCGGATTTGGAACAAATATAAGGTAAGACTGTCTCCTAATGTACCCTTGTGGTTGTCACCTCAGGAAGCATTTACTAGAAGAGAAAATGTGGGAGAAATGAAGTGATTAAAATATAAAGATTTACTAAATTTTGAGGAGGGTGAACCAAGTTTTAAAACAAGAGAACAGTTAGAATTAGAAGGTTTTATATGTCACTGGTTTATTGTTTGAACGTTTTAAGTTGGATAAAAAGAATTATACTGCAGATTTGTTAATGAAATATCTTATTTCGAGACTCAACTTTGTACAAATGATGAACATGTTATTGCTAAAATGTATAAGATGTTGTTACAGATGAACGTAGAAGATGAACAAGTCAAGGAATATATGATTAAATGGGGTAAAAACTTTGGACACAATATCACATTGGAACAATGGGAAAATATGTGGAACAAAGGTTTGAAATTTACGTTGAATTATAATTTAA